GGCGCCGCACCAGCGCGTTCAGCCGCTCGCCCAGGCTCTGGAAGGTGACCAGCGTCAGAGGGATGCCCAGGAGCGCGTAGAACATGCAGAAGACCTTACCCGAGTCTGTGCCCGGCGCGGCGTGGCCATACCCTGTGCGGGAGTGGACAGAGGGTAATGAGAGCCCAGCTCCAACTGACAGCACCCCCCACCCCCAGGCCCCGCGGACCATCTCAGCCATGGTCTAACCAGGTCACCCCTGTGCTCTGAAATCTTGTCTGATTATAACATCCCCGTGTTGGAAACAACCCCCATGTCCTTCGACGGGGAAATGAATAACCCGTGGTACATTACAGCAGTACTGGGGGGGCAATGAAAGGAGCTGTTGTCACCCGCAGCAATAAAGGTGACTCTCATTGTACAAGGGCTGATCAAAATATACAAGCTGTGCTTGAATAAAATATAACTATTACAGTAAAAGACACATTGCCATTAATGCCCTTCAAAACACTTCCCCTCACTTCAAACACCCTTCTCCCGTCATCCTTGCCACTTGCTGAAGCAGTTCTCCAAATCCTCTTTCGTGTCTTCACGAAATGTGATTTAAAAAAAAAAAACATACAGTTAATACTGATGCCAAGTGCTAGGCAGGCTCAAAAGAACATTACAGTGTGCGCCGGGGATTTAGCTCAGTGGTTCTGCCGCCTGCCTCGCAAGTGCAAGGTCCCGAGTTCAATTCCTCGTACCGAAAACAAACATTACAGTGTGTCCTTACCCAACTTATTCCCTGGATGTGGCATCGTGCAACTTCTGGCTCTTTGCAAAGTCAAAATGACCATGAAAGGTAAACTTTTTATTCAACTGAAGACATTAAGGCAGGCACAACAGTGCAACTAAAGATGCATGGTCCCATTGAAATGACATTTTGGAAAAGGCACGATCACAGAGACAGAGAACAGATCTGTGGTTGCAAGTCCTTGGGGTAGGAGGAGTTAACCATAAATGGGCATTACAGTTTAAGAGGTGAAGGAAATACTCAATGCCTCGGGGTTTTTTCTTCCCTGGCCTTTTCTCCCCTCTGCACCCTTTCTCCCTTCCCAGATCCTGCCTCCTTTACCACTGGGCCAGACTCACTAAACACCCCTTTATTCTGGTACAGTCTGGGATAGGGATTCTTCAGCCTTTCAACTGCTGGAGGGGATCCAGGCTTGAGTGCTTCCTCTCTAGGAGTTCCTCGAGTCTTGGGTCACTGTGTGAAGGCGAAGAGCCTTAGCCTATAACCCAAAGAAGTCAGGTGGATTTCCACAACAGAATATGTTTCCCCAAGACGATTGGCCCCACCTGCTAAATGCAAACTGTACAAGTCCTTTGACCCATATGGTCCATGGTTAGGCAATTAGATTTCCCGTATACACGTGTACAAAATGATGTGCACCTGGGCTGTTGAAGGAGACCACCTTAAGATGGTGTTCAGCAGGCTTTGATTATATTCACTTGGTTTAATGCAATTAGCTTATACTTATAATTCAGAGCTGATCTGAGGCTTAAGTACACAGCTTAATACCTGCAGCTGGCATGCAGATAAAGAACTCTACACGCCACTGGCCATGGCACAGACTAACCCAGGTCAATCACACTGTGGTGCCTGTATTAGCTGATAGCATGGGCAGCTGAAGACCCCATGATTCTTGCTCATTCTCTATAAAAAGTTAATATTAATCTAAGGGAAAGAACAAGTTCCCATTAACCTAAGACTCACTTCTTGCAAGAATGCTTTGTTCTGTTCTTGTTAGGCCTTGCTCACCTCAGCACCTCTGATCATCACCCCACATCCTGACCATACGCTCCCCCTAACTGCTTTGTGCCCAATGAAATAGCAGCAAGTCTGGAAGTTCAGGGTCTTTGCTCACTAGAAGCTACGACCTCCCAGGACTCATTTCTTCTACTCTTTAGCTTTGTTTTCCTTCCTCATCATGTACCTAATCAGGGGTAGGAGGCTTTGCTGGGGTCCCGATAGGCTGTCACAGCAGCACTGGCAATTATAGTGAAAACTGGAAACAACCTATGTACCCATCGACAGGGGCCTGGTGCCATCCACCCTGGAATACTCTACAGCAGTGGTTCTCAACCAGGGCAGTTTTACTCCTGAGGGGACACTTGGCAATATCTAAAGGCATTTTGGGTTGTCACTACTGGGGAGTAGGGATGAGACGGCTGTGTGCCACTGGCACCCAGAGCGTAGAGGCCAGGGGCACCATTAACATGGTGCTGTGCACAGGCTTCCCCCACAACACAGAACTATCCAGGCCTAGATGTCAGTAGTTCCAAGGTTGAGAAGCCCCGCTAAACAGCCAGGAAGGGATGACACAATTCTTTAGGGACTGGTTGAAAAACACCGCCAAAATATGTTAAGTGAAAAAAACAAGAAACAAGATACATGTATATTACAATGCCTGTATAACGTGGGTGTTAGCGGATAAAGAAGAAGCTGTCATTGCATTTGATGCAGGAAGGATTGATGGGTTAAAAGACAGGGCGGGAGGAGACTTCCTTTAAATTTGATATCCTTTTGTGCCATGTGCAATGTTCACTGTGGGCACACTCAGCATTCACAATATCAATACAACATGTGTGTTTGAGGACCTGTGGCTGCACCTCCACGTGCTCCTGAACAGCCCTATCAGTCTGCCTTCCTGCTTCACCCTTCATCGTACTTTGAGCTCCTTGAGGTCAGGAACCACGGAGGTCACTTCTTTATGTCTCCAGTCACCAATCCTGCACAGAGACAGACCAGGGCCCAGGGAAAGTTTAATGACTCCAAGTTTAGGAATAAGAGGCCTTGCAATGCTGTTTCTGGCTGCTTGGGGCACTGCGAGGTTTGGGCAGAGAGCGAAACAAACAATGATAATAACTAGACATACTAGGTACTGAACATGGGTTGTCTTCTTTAGCCTTCCCAGTGACTCTATGGGATGACATATTATTCCCATTTTACAGATGAGGAAACCAGGCTTAGAAGGAGGAAGCTGTCCAAAGGTCCTAGGGCCTGAGCTACTAACTATTCTCCCTGTCGTCCCAGTGCCTCTCTTCTACTTCTTCCCAAGCAGAGCTCAGATTCCTGGGCACTGAGGCCTGGCTCTCCACCAGGCTGGGTAAGCAGACTGGCTCACACAGCAGGTGGTGGCACCCCCGGGTGACCAGAAAACACAAAACTCCTGCTTCCAGTCAGCTATTCTCTTCACCCAGGCTCCAGTGGGCACAACCAGGAGCCCATCCTCAGAGCCCCGAAAGAATATGGATGGGGCACCACCTCCCTAAGCAGCAGCACAGGGAGAGTCTCAGGCCAAGCCAAGATAAGGAAACAGTGGTGCCCACGGAGTCAGGAGGGGCAAAGGAGCTGAATGAGAGCAGGACCACAGTTGGCAAATAATGAATTATTAT